TGTTCCTGGGACAGTGTCAAGTGCCAGGAGGGCTCACACAGTCAAGGTGAGCCGCTCCCATCCCTGGCACAAAAACAGCCTCTGCAAGTCGGTCAGCTAAGTACTCATTCCGGTTCAGAATCCTTATCTGCAGTGTAGTTTGAATGCTTTTCTTGGCTCTGTTGAGAGGATGTTGAGCGCTAACAGCTCCTCTGGGGACAGACGTTTTAAATGGGGAGAGAAGGGTGTAAGCATGATGGAGAGTAGAATCTGGGCACTAAGAAAGAAACAGCCCAGGACCTAGCCGTTAGGAGGCAGTGGGCAGTAGTTACAGAGCTTTCCCACATCGATGGCCCCTCTAGAAACTGACTAAATTAGTCTTTGTCTTTCTTCGCTTGTAAAGAATTCCTTAAAGCGGGACTGCAGAGAGGACTCAGTGGTTACTAGAGCTGGTCCGACAGAGCACCTCAGTTCGCTTCCCAGCGCCCACATCTGGCAGCAACCAGCTGTTTGTATTTCAGTTCCAAGGAACACAACACCCTCTTCTGGCCTCCATGGACATTTGTATACACACACACACTCTCTCTCTTTTTAAAAAGAGTTTCTAAAAAAGAAAAAAAAAAAGCTAACCAGGTGGTGGTGGCACAGGCCTTTGATCCCAGCACATGAGGGGCAGAGGCAGGTGGATCTCTGTGAGTTCGAGGCCAGCCTGGTCTACAGAGTGAGATCCAGGACAGGCACCAAAACTACACAGAGAAACCCTGTCTCAAAAAAAAAAAAAAAAAAAGCTAACTGTATTTTCAGCCAAATTGGGGTAGACATACTCTACCCCAAATACATTTTGTAATAGATGAAAGGGAAGAGGGAAGAGAGAGAGTCCCCATCAAAACAAGACTAACAATTGGCACACCAGAAACACCATCACCAACAACAAACAAAACATAAACCAGGGTTTAACTAATGCCTAGACTTCGTGTGCTCTAAATCTACAGTGAGCAGAAGTGAGGAGGAAGGGGGCTCTTGTGGGGTGAACGGGCTCAGCACACTCTCAAGACAGATTAGAGTCAGGTCCACACCTTTAACTCAAAAAAAGAAAAAGAAAAAGAAAAAGAAAAAGAAAAAAGCGTTTTGGAAAAGAGGCTGAGCAAGCAGCCACCAAGCACTGACAGGAGCAATAATTTGTTAGGAACTTGGGCCCAAAGGGACAGAAGGCTGCAAATGTAAGAGCGAAGCACCTTCTCAGGGCATTCACTGCTTCTGTAATGTTCTTCAATAGCATAGCAGAACAAGAAACCTAAAGCACTGCATTGGAAGACCCAACCTCGGAAGAGCGGCGGTGCACGCCTTTAATCCCAGCACTCAGGAGGCAGAAGCAGATGATCTCCATGAGTTCGAGGCCAGCGCAGTCCACAGAGTGAGTTCCAGGCTGTTACACAGAGAAACCCTGTCTCAAAAAAAAAAAAAAAAAAGACACCCAATAATAATACTAGTAATAATGATGATGAAGTACAGATCAATGATTTTTAGTATATCCCCCAATGTTTCCCCACCATCAATTTATAACATTTTCATCTTTGCCAAAAAAACTCCATGTCCATCAGTTAACAATCACTCCCCTATTTCTCTCACCATACTCCAAACCCCCAAATCTATTTTCTTTTTTTTGTTGTTGTTTATTTATTTATTTATTTTTGAGTAAAACCAAAACTTAATATAAGCCACAGTCATCCTAGGGTCCCCCCTTCCATATAGCCTCCCTGGTTCTGTGGGTTGCAGTCTGATTGTTCTTTGTTTTACATCTAGAATCCACTTATGAGTGAGTACATACCATGTTTGTCCTTCTGGATTTGGGTTACCTCACTCAGGATGATATTTTCTAGTTCCATCCATTTGCCTGCAAATTTCATGCTGTCATTGTTTTTCTCTGCTGAGTAGTACTCCACTGTGTATATGTAACCACATATTCTTAATCCATTCTTCAGTTGACTGGCATCTAGGTTGTTTCCAGGTTCTGGCTATTACAAATAGTGCTTCTATGAACATAGTTGAGCGTGTTTCTTTGTGGTATGATTGAGCATTCCTTGGGTATATGCCCAAGAATGGTATGGCTAGGTCTTGAGGTAGATTGATTCCAATTTTCTGAGAAACCGTCATACTGATTTCCACAGCGGTTGTACAAGTTTGCATTCCCACCAACAGTGGAGAAGTGTTCCCTTTGCTCCGCATCCTCTCCAACATTGACTGTCATTAGTGTTTTTGATCATAGCCATTCTGACAGGTGTAAGGTGGTATCTCACAGTCATTTTGATTTGCATCTCTCTGATGATTAAGGATGTTGAGCATTTCTTTAAATGTCTTTCAGCCATTTGTGATTCTTCTTTTGAGAATTCTCTGTTTAGCTCTTTAGCCCATTTTTTTTTAATTGGATTGTTCAGTATTTTGATGTCTAGTTTCTTGAGTTCTTTATATCCTTTGGAGATCAGTCCTCTGTCAGATGTGGGCTTGGT